GTCCCTTCGAGAAGCACAAGAGTATATCTACTTTGAGTGTGCCCCTGCCCCTCAAAGGCCTTATTCCCTTTTCTGCTGGGAATGAGCTTCAGCTTGAGTGACCCTAAGGATTCCTGCTGCTGCCCATCCACTCAATTGTGTGCTCCAGTGTCCCCCAAGCCAGAGAGTTTCCAGGCTCCAACTGGAGCCCTCCCACCCACCGTGGCCCAAGGAGGGGGACAACTCTGTGGCTGCCCCTCTGGATTCCCTCCGGACACCATTAATGTTTCTCCTTCAGCTTGACGAGGTCCCTTGCCAAGCGTCCAGCAGCCCTCACCCTGAGTGTGCTCTGCCTTCTCCCTGTCTAGTCTACCCCGGACCTTGCCTGGTCAGTGTGGGCCTGGGCTGGGCCTACAGATGCCTACTTCCTGATCTGAGGAATTGAAAAGTGGATGTGTGCAAATGAGCTCTGGTCAGCTCATGTCTCTGGCCCTTCTGCCCTCTTGTGCTGCTGCCCTCTCCTGAGATCACCTTTGTGCTATGGTCATTTCTCTTCCCAGAACTGGAGGATCAGCCCTCCTGGGCCATGAACGTGTTCTGATACCTATGAGTCATGGCACATGTGTCGTACTGCAGCCTTGGGTAGGACTAGTTCTGCGCTCACCCCAGGGTCCATTTGCTTTTATTCTGGGTGTGACGGCCATTAAGTAGCTTACCTGCCGGCTGTGCATCCCCTGACTGCTACCTGAAGAGACACCCTGCCTGCACCCCTTAGATCTGTCCTATAGATGCCGCACACTCTGGCAAGGGCATCATCAGGAGCCAGCAAGTTGGCCGGGCATGGAGCAGCCAGGGCAGGGCAGGGGCCTCACTGCCAAGACCAGCACTATTTACTCATTCGCACCCCAGGGCATTGCCATGGCGACTCAGCCCCAGTGGTTGTCATCCCACACTGCACAGACGGGGTCTTTAATGTGCCTGGCTGGGGCTGCTTAGAATGCCGAGACTCCAGCCAGCTCGCCAGGGCTGCTGCTATCAAAGAATACACAGATGATGGGAATCAGACAACACCTTCCAGGGGTCATGGGGTCTGGTGCAGCCCTCTCTATGTCATGCCTTGGGGGTAGTATGGTGGACAATGACCATTCTGATGGACAGGAAGAAGCACTTGGAGCTGCTCAATGTGCAAAAGAAGGATGGGCAGTGGGGACAGCATGGAAGAGCCAGCCACAAAATCACAGGGCACAGGGCACATCTGCCTGTCAAGACAGCAGCGAGGGTGGCGGGGCAACGCCCCAGCCCCATGGCTTCATGATGTCTTGGGCACCTCTGCTCTCTGAACTCTGGAAGATTCAAGAGAGACAGTAAGTGTCAGTCTGGAAGTAAAGGATGTCCCCTAGTATGGCCCCTGCTTTGGAGCCAGTGTGTCTGCTAGGCTCGGGAGGTACCTGTGGCCTGCAAGACTGTCTTAGGTGTTAGCTCAGCTCCCTCACATGCTTCTTCCTTGTCATTTGCCTTCTTGAGTGACCCTGGGCTTGGGTAAGGGCTTTTACTGTAGGCAAAGTTCAGCGATAAGGTTGTCAGGTATTTATCCTGCCGTACTTTTTATTTTAATAAAAACGTAAGTATGAAAAGGATGGAAGTAGCACCACTCATTACATTTTAAAAACAAAATAAGACCCATTTCTGATGACAGCAAACCTCACGCAGATTGTGACTTTCACCATGAGAATGCTGGCTGCAGAGCTGGCCCACACATGTGCTGGTCCTGGTCCTCAGGACATTGATTACAGTCAGTGGTCCTGAGCAGATATGTCATAACCAACTGGGGCTCCCGGTTTAAATTACTGTTCATTTTTTGTTTGGAACATTTTACGGGCCTGCACAAACATGTCTACCCCAGAGACTCACCATTACAGTGTCACCCAGAGCAGTTTCACGACCCTAAAAGCCCCCCATTCCCTGCCTGTTTATTCCTCCCTTCTAGCCCTGGTGACCTCTGATCTTTTACTATCACCATAGTTTTTTGTCTTTTCTAGAATGTCATGTAGTTGCAATCAGGAAGCCTGTAGCTTTTCCAGATTGGCTTCTTTAGTTAGTAATATGCCTCGAAGACTCCACGTCTCTTTGTGGCTTGATAGTTCACTTCTGGATATGCTAATTTGTCCTTCATTCACCTACTGAGGAACATCTCAGTTACTCTCAGTTCCTCCTCCTCCTCCTCCTCCTCCTCCTCCTCCTCCTCCTCCTCCTCCTCCTCCTCCTCCTCCTCCTCCTTCTTCTTCTTCTTCTTCTTCTTCTTCTTCTTCTTCTTCTTCTTCTTCTTCTTCTTCCTTTTTCTCTTCTTGTTCTTCTTCCTTTTCTGAGACAGAATCTTACTATGTAGTTCGAGCTGGGCCTGAACTCATTGTGTAGCCTAAGCTGGCCTCTTCTCATGGTGATCCTCCTGCTTCAGCCTCCTAGGTGCTGGGATTGCAGGCATGCACCACCATGCCTGTCTTTGCTCTCTCACTTCTGACAATTATAAGTAAAGGTGCTATCAACATTTGCATGCCAGTCTATTTGTGTACCTATATTTTCAATTCCTCTTAATAAATATGGAGGACAACAGCTGCTGGATTCTATGGCAAGAATATATTAACTGTGGTAAGAATGTGCCCAACACCTGCCTTGGAAGCAGGCAGTCGTGAGTTCGATCCCCGGTACCGATAAAAACGAAAAAGCCAAAAAAAAAAAAAAAAAAAAAAAAAAAAGAATGTGCCCAACTACCTTCCATTATAGCAGGACCATTCTGCATCCCTAGCCCCAGAACTAAGGGTTCCTGTTGCTCCAACTTTCTTGCCAGGGTTTGGTGTTCCAGAGTTTTGGATCTGGCCCATTCTGAAAACTATATAGTAGAAACTCTTTCTTGTTTTAATTCCACAATGACATATGATGTTAAACATTTTTTCATGCACTTAACTCCTAGGCCAATTAATATTAATAGTCAATTCTACTGGATTAAGAGACTTTGAAAGAGCTGATTGGATTGGGGGCATCACATTTTATCAGTGGCTTAATCCACTGTTTACCCCTGAGTGTGCTCTTAGACAGTGGGTCCCTAGTGTCATACTTTGGAGGGAAGGGCTGATGCTTTTCTCCTGTGCTGTTTCCTAGCACAGGAATGGGAAGCTTTGTGTGCAGAGTTTTCTGCTTTGGAGCCAACTGACCATGGACTGAACCCTCTAGAACCATGAGTCCAATAAGCCAGTCCTCCTTTGAGTTATATATTCCAGGCACTTTGTCCCAGCAACGAAACACTGACCAGTACACGGTTGTCTGTATATCTCCTCTGATAAGGTACCTGTTCAGGCCTTTTGCCCATCTTTTAATTCGGTTACTGATAGTCTTACTGTTGTTTCAAGAGTTAATCATATATTTGGTGACTGTCCTTTATTAAATATGCCTGTAGCTGACTTTCTCATTTTCTTGAAAATGTTTTCCCCAGAACATAAAGTTTTAATTTAGGTGAATCTCAATTTATCAACTATTTCTTTCATGGACTTTTGAGTTGTATTACTAAGTCACTACTACACCCCAAATTATCTACGTTCTGCCATGTGAGCTATAGAAATTTTATTATTTTGCTATCTACACTGAGATATTTTAGTCTTCTTTGTTTGAAATTAATGTTACTACTCTCGTTTTCTTTTGATTAGTGTTAGCATGGCCTATCTTTATCCTTTTAATCTATATGCATCTTTGTACATAAAGTAGGTGTCTTGGAGGTACCACATTGTTGGATCTTGGTGTGGCTTTTTGTGTTTGGTACTGGGGACTGAACCCAGGGCCTTTGCACTGAACTACATCCTCAGTCCTTTTTTATTTTGAGACAAGATCTCACAGAACCACTAAGTGGCTCAGGCTGGATTCAAACTTGCAATTCTTATCTCTCTGCCTGGCTTGTTTGATGATCAACTCTGATTTATTTAATGTTTTTATTCCATTGATTCTTATGGTTTAATAGGTTTTATGCTGTTAATATCTGCCATATTTGTTGGTATTTATATTTATTGCCTTTTTCCTTTGTTACTAATTTGGTCATTACAGTTTTTCAATTTTTTGTAGTTTTAATTTTTTATTATTTCATTTCTCTCTATTTTTGTTATATGTTACACTTCTTTTTAAACATTTTTAGTGGTTACCTTTAAGTGGAATACAGTTACATTAAAAAACTAATATATAAATCTATTCAAATGACCCTATACAACTTAATAGGTAGTACAAGTACTTCATAGTGGCAAAATATCTACAGCCCAGCGTCTTATTCCTTGTCATTGCTGTGACTTGTATCACTGATACACCAGCACATGCATATGTATGTGCATCTGTACATTTGTACATAATACACACATATGCAAAGGTGTTGCTAATGTCATTATTTTGGACAAATTTATCTGTCAGATAAATTAAGAAAACTAAGTTTTAATTATACTTTTACTTATTCATTCTTGAATGCTTTTTTTTTCATTATGTACATCAGAATTAACTGCATAATTTTCCTTCTCTCTAAGAGCTGTTAATATTACTTACAAGGCAGATGTACTGCAACATAATTATTCAATTTTTGTTTGTCTGTGAGGGTCTTTGCTTCTACTTTACCTTTGAAGGCATTGATGGCTTGTATCTAGATACATGCTATCATGGGTGGGACTTTTTTGAGGTGCTGAATCTAGGATGTGTGGTTCTGGGATTAAGGGTACTGATTACTAAATTAGTCCACTGATTGATTTAGCATAGTTCCAGTTGTGAATAATGGGAAGGCCCACCCTGGGTGTGGATGGTACCACTGGAAAGCTGGGAAAGATAAAAAGAAGAAGCAGGTTTGCTGCTTGCTGCCTTCTATCTGTCCTGCTCTGCCATGGACTGTTTCTCCTCTGTAATGCCCCGATGCCATGCCACCCTGCCTTAGAGTCAGCCTTTTATGGACTGAAACCGGATGTGAGCTACAGTAAACCTTTCCTCCTTTGGGTATCTTGGTATTTTTGTCTCAGCAATGAGAAATGAAACTCATAGGATAGACAAAGGATAATCTCACAGGGTACAGGTTGGAGGTTGGAGATTTTCTCTCAGTTTTGTAAGCATCTTCTTCTTGTCAAAGATTCACTGGGAAGCTGGGCACAACTCCTGTCCTTGTTCCTCTTTGGGTGGATGTTTTTTTCTCTCAATCTTCTTTTGAGATCTTTGTTTCTCTTTGATTTTCTGAGGTTGGGTGTGATATGTTCAGGAGGTATTTTGAGTTGTGCTGGTTTCTTTGCTTTTGACATTCCTCCTGCCTGGTCTCCTTTGGGATTCCTGGTCTGTGGTCCACTGTCAGACATTAAATTGGGAAAATTCTCAGTCACTGTTGCTGCAAATATTGCTTTTTCTCTCTCTCTTTTCCTCAAATAATTTGCCTCTAGTAGTGGTCCCACAGATCATGGATCTTTGGGTCTGTTTCCTATCTTAGTCTTTTTTTTTTCCTTCCTTGTTTTTCACTTTTGGGAGTTCCCATTATCCTATCTAAAAGCTAAGATTCTCTTCATATCCGTGACGCATCTACTCAGGAGCTTGTTGAAAACCATCTTTTCTTCTGTTACAGTGTTTTTGAGCTCTAGCAGTTCTTTTTGATTCTTTTCCTAGGAATTTCCCTATCTTTAGTGATTAATTAGTTTTTCATTGCTGTGACTAAATGCCTAAGAAAAATAATTTTGGAGAGGGAAAGATTTATTTTGGCTCACAGTTTCAGAGGTCTGATATATGAGCTGAGCTGACAGCTCACTCAGGCCCCCATTGGCAACCCTGTCCCTACTCCCTTACCAGGTGTCTGGGGTCTTGGTGGGGACATCACCTACTTACCTGGAGTCCAGAGGGTCCTGTTTGCCCACAAATCTTTGTAGTTGTGTCCAGGTAGAAAGGGAGACTGGGCAACAGCTCTGGGATGCAAGGGTGAGTTATTCAGAAGTGTGTCTGGAAGAAGCTGGGTGAGGTGAAAAGCATATTTGGCCAAATGGAATCTGGGTTTGGCCCAAGTCAAGTCTGATTATGTCTCATTATTGGGCTGGGGCTCCTCCTAGGGGTTTAGAAGGGGTGTCCCTTTATCCATGAACAGTTTTTACAGAAGTTTTTCTAGGTTTCCTTTAACTCCATTAGTGGTGTGTGGTAAGCCCTAGAAACACAGGGGACTGGGCTGCATCCTCTTGGGGGGCAGAATGGTCAGGGGATGGGTCATCAGGCCCCACGTGGGCCCAAGTTCTGTTCCTTCTCTCCTGCCATTCTCTCAAGGCCTAGGCTCCTGGTACTACCTGGGTCCTGGCAGGAGTGGACTGAGCGCAAATGTAGATTAACTGCTGGAGAAGCCATGGGCAGGAGGGGTGTGTGGGTCTTTGTTTGTTCCTGAACTGGCTCCCCAGCAGGTCCTCAGATGCCTAAGCCCCTTGGGTCCCAAAACTCATATTCCTTCTGTGCCTCAGGACTCCTGCAGGGTAGGTCCCCTCTGGTAAGGTAGGTTGGATGCTAAGAGCCCTGGTAAGACCTGTCCCAGTGACAGTTCAGGAGTAGCTGGTAGAGCTCCAGAGCTATCCCTGGGGTATAGATGCAGGAGAATGTGTCTCTGTGGAGGCACTGAGTGGGGAGCCCTTGGCCTACATAGCTGTCACATGCACAAGACTAGGACACTTCTAGGAAGGGCCCCTGCCTTGTCCTGCTAATGCAACACCTTGAAAGTGCAGCTCAGGTGGAAATGCATGCATCCAGAGCCGTGGGTGCAGGGTGGCATCTCCTTAGAGTGTGCTAAACTGAGGCAGGATCCTAGCTCCAGTCCTAACTGGTGTCTTGTTGTCTGGGTCTGCAGTGCCCTGGGTGGTTATGCCCCTCACAACACATGCTGACCCCAAACCCAAAGTGACAAAGGCACCAGGAGGAGCTCCTCTGGGAGTGAACAGAGGTCACCGCGGGAGATCTTGTTCCACCAAGCTCCTTGCTGCCTCCACCAAGTGGGGACACAATGAGAAGGTGCCGTGTGCGAGCCAGGAAGCTGACTGTCACCAGAACTCAACCATGCTGGTGTCCGAGGCCTGGACTCCCAGCCCAAGAGCATGAGGAAAGCACTTCTATGTGCAATAGTTGTCCTTCTGATGGGAATTTGTGTCAGCAGCCCAAGTTAAGACCATATCCTCTATTTCCTGCCTAGATCTGCTGGGTGAAGCCTCAGCATGTGACTGAGTAACTTCCAGCTTTGTGGCACCATTGGTCTCTGAGCTGCCTCTGGGTGCTGGGCCACACCGACTCAGGTACCAGAACCAGTACCCACTCTACCTTGCTGAGGGCTGTGCTCAAGCAGCAACCCTGGAGGGGCTTCTTGTTGCCTGCAGCCCCTGGGTATATTCTAGGGGCAGCAGGAAGACTTTGAGGCCCATCTCCTTGCAGGTGAATGTGTGTGTGGGAACAGAGCTGTGATAACTGCTGGGCTACATACCAAGCACCAGGAGTCCCCACCAATCATGGGCATGGCTCCAGTAAAACTCTGCAGTTGATTCTGTCTTGGCAGCTTCTTCTTGTAGAAGCAGGATTGTGCTATGCAGAAGTGACACATCTACAGTGATCCCAGTGATGGTCAGCATGCAACTCTGTCCGTTGGTCTTGGGGACCACTGAGGGGGTGCCTTCCTTTGGTCAGCACTGCTCCTGGTTGGGCCTCACACAGCGGGCCCATTTGAGCACTGGAGCAGTTCCCCAGAGCAACACTGATGTTCGGTGCCAGGCCAGGGAGTGGGGAGAAATGCTCCTGCCATGGGAGATGGAGCAGGTGCAAGGGGCTGTGGCTGTAGCCAGGTAATCACAGCCCATGGCCTCCACCCCAACAACCCTCAAGGCTTTGCAGGTTCCAGGCTGCCATGGAGTAGGACTGACCTGTGTGCAGTGATCGATTGCCTCCTCTGCAGCACACTTGCAGCTGCATAGCCAAGACGGAGGCCACAGAGTGGAGCATCCTGCGTCGAGGTGGGGCTTCGGGTGCATGGATACATGGGGCTAGGCAAAGGCTGGGGTTTCAGGGAGCTCTGGGTCCACACAGGTGGTTGCTAATAATGCGCCATTTTCCAAAACAGCAGCACTTCACTGTGGCAGTGCTGGCACAGCTCTGTGGCTCTAAAGTATCTTAATTCTTGTTTTTTTTTTTCCCACTTTTCAAACATCACGTCTCATTTCCTTTTTTCTAAATGGCTAGAGACAGACACGGTGGAAGTGTGCCCAGCTGCCTCTAGGTGTGGCTTTTCTCTTCCCTCATGGAAGTCTTGTTTTTTTCTGCTGTTATTTTAAAGGCTTTAAACAGCAACCCCAAACCTCCTGGGTAAGCCTTGTTGATGTGCTGGGCTGTGATCAGTGCCTTCTTTTGAGCTCTGTCCTCAACTTCACCCCACCTTCAGGCTGAGCGCTGGAGGCACATTGGGCCTGGCCTTGCTGAAAGCCTCTGTGGGATGGAAACACACCTACTTGGTTGTGAGTCTGTCTTAGAGAGCGAGAGCCAAGCTTTGGAGAAAACAAGATGCAGAAGCTGGTCTGAACTGTAGGCCTGACATACAAGTGTAGTCAGATCTGTGGTGTCCTCTTTGCCTGGGTCTTTCTAGGAGCTCAGCAGTCACTAGAAGTGGTCCTGAGGCTTTTGGTCCTCAGCCCCACCTCCCTGGGTATGTGGTGGCTCTCAGCAGGCTCTCCTGTTTCCTCCCGTGGTCGTTCACTGCAAGTCTGAGCTCTCGGCTCCTCATGTCCACACTGCAGTCCACTCCTCCACTACTCAGGTTTTGATAGCTCAGCTGTGGGTGGGGACGAGGGAAATGATACCATGCGAAGCCAGATCTCAGTAGTTTTTCATGTGTTTTCTGTATGGTGAAAGCTAGAGCACCAGGATGGGCACACTCCCTGAGAAGGTGGGGGAGAAGTACAGGCCGCAGGAGGGACTACAGGGCAGCCTCGGGCCTCCTCAGCAAGCACTGTGGCTATAGTGTCAGATGGAAACTGATGGAATTCTTGGTCTGGCTTCTTACATGGAGTCAGGAAGAACATTTTAAAGTGGTTTATCTGAATTTGATATCTTGAGTATTTTAATTTAAAAAAGAGAAAAAAGAAAAAAAGTTCTTCCCTACTGTCAAAATTTGGATTTAACCATGCTGAAATTGTCCCCTGAGACACTTCTTCAAAACTGAGAATGGCCCTGAGGCCTGGGCATTGCTGTTTGTGTGTGGGTTGCACAGTGCCATCCCTAGAGTGCATGTGGATACTGCCCAAGGGCAGGGAGTGCCCGCCAACTTACATATCTCCCAGTGGCAGCTGTCACTCCAGGAGTTGGCACAGAGGTCCCTTGCTGGGGATAGCCTCAGGATATGGGCTCCTTGGAAAGCCCTTGTTGAGTAACTACTGCATGCTGGGATTCATGGAGGGACTTCAGGGGAGCTCAGGAGCCCCACTGGGATGAAGCATGCTTGCCACTGCCCTCAGAAGAGGGACTAGAGAGTGTGGATGGTCCCTCAGCACTAGGACATGGACTTTTATCTCAGGGGCCCCGGGGACCAAGGTCTGAGCCTCAAGATGTTTGACCTTCCAGTTTACCAGAAGTTGGCCAGAGACAGCCTGATCTCCAGAAACAGCTGGCCAGCACGAGTCCTGCAGCTATTTGAGTTCTCCTGGGAGGACAAAGGCCCTGGGCAATACTGTCTAGTGGATAGGCAAGAAATCAGGCAGAAATGTGTGTAGCCCAGTCAGGTTAGCAGAGACCAGCTCATCCCACACTGTACAGAGCACACAGGAGGTCTGGGGACAACTGGGTCCCCTGGCAGGATGGAGGCAGGAAGAGCCAGTGGTGAGAGAGTTCTGGCATGTGATTTCTTTACCAGACAAGAGACCCTCTTGGGACAAGTCCAGGCTAGCCTGTGCCTGGGGAAGGCTCCAGGTTCTAGGCCCTCTAAGGAGTCTCTGTGCCCAAAATAAAGTCATGGATGAATGGAGGGCAGGGGATGTTCATACATGTTGGAGAACATGGCTCCAAAGAAAGGAAAATCATATAGATTCCCTTTGAGCTTGTTATATTTTGACAAAATCTACACTGGAGTCAGTCTTTACATCAGCTGTGAGGAACAGAGTGGCGAATTTCTAGGTGAAATAGAAATGTTAAAAAGATGTTATGATGGCCAGGGATATAGCTCAGTGGTATAATGCCTGCGTGGCAAACATGAGGTTATGAGTTCGATTCCCAGTACCCAAAACAAAGACAAAGACAAAGACAAAGACAAAGACAAAGACAAAGACAAAGACAAAGACAAAAACAAAAAACCTGTTACAACATCAAGACCGAGCCAAAGCTCCCACTAAGCAGAGATGTGCTACATACCCACAAGGCCACAGAGTGGTCGTACTCACAGATCCCTTTCATGCTGAGTTGTCAGTGGCAGTGATGCAACTGGGCTTCCTTTAGTGTGTTCCAAGATGTGGGTCCTTCTTGCTTCAGCCCCCTTGTTCCCTGTGCTGGTACCAGGGCTTACACTTTGTCTTCCAGTTGTGCCTGGAGCTTTGTTAGCTTTCCTTTTCTCCTGAAAGAGTGATTAATGCCTAGTTGTTAGGGCTCAGCTGCATGCTGTCTTGTAGTGGCTGGGAGTAGAGACATTTCCCATTCATGCCTCATGTGCATCAACAGAGCAGAGGCGCCTCGGCATGGATGTCACTTCCTTTAGTTCTGTCATCATCATCATCATCATCATCATCATCATCATCATCATCATCATCAACTTCCTCTCTTCTGCTCCCACTGTCACCACTGGGAGACTTTAAAGGAGCCTGCTCTTGCTCAGCAGTCTTCCAGACTGTGGATGTAGTCCTCACCCTCCCAATATATTATGCCATCAGCAGTGGTAGTTTTTCTGGTTCACACTTGTGGAGGTTGAGGCTCATGGAGGTTAAGCAACTTGCTCAGAGCCACATGGAGCTATGAAGACACAGAACCTTAATGTCCAGCTCCAAATCCCAGCCTTTCTTCTGCTTTTCTGTAGCTTTCTGCAGACAGAAAGCAGTGAGCATAGCTTGCCAACATGCATCCCTTTTGCAGCATGAGCCCTGCCCAGGGTAATGGCTTGTACTGCCCAGGCCACAGGTTTCTGGCATGCTCCCAGGGGCAGAGACCATGGCTGGTGTCCCTGTAGAATGGGTGAAGGGCCCAGAAACAGGGTAAATGACTTCTTTCTGTCATGCTTGGGAGTGATCTAGCTGGGCCAGACTGAAATTAAACCACATGTTCACAGAAAATCAAGACACATTCAGGTCAGCTCAGGACAGGGTGTCGGCCTTTGCGCCCATGGTTTAGCTCCCTGAGTGTTAGTTTTCCTCTTGTCTCACTGTTATTGTCTGCATTGGCCTGTACTCCCTTCCTTCATAACAGGATGGCAGATAGAGTGGCTGCCACGGGCTGCTACAGCTCCTGAAAACACTGAGATAAGCCCCACGTGGCGGAAACCCCTGTAACTGCAAAAGTGTTCACCCCTCAGGCTCCAGGACTCCAAGAGTTCTGTCCCCACAATGTCCATGTGCTGGGGACAGACAGTCACTCGGGGGTGTCACCCCTGAGCAGGCTTGATGTGGGGCTAGTCTGTACTTGGTGCACCCAAAACTGACTTCACTCCTACAAGCCTTTTCTGCTACAAGGTTCTTCTCGGTATTTACTCCTGGCTGAAGAAATAGTCACAATTTTTAGTTTTGCAAAGACCAGACTTTGCAAATTCCCTCTATTTTCTCTTCAGTTTGCTATGAAACTGCTCACTCTTTTTAGAGTGTATTTTTTTTCTTTCTTTCTTGAGGTTCTCACCAAGGGCAGTAGAAACAACTAACTTATTTTGGTGATATTTTGCTAGGGAAGCTCTTAGTCCAATGCCAAGAGTATAGTAGGTATGTTTCCTGTTTCCTAAATTTGGCAGGAGCCAGTGTTAGTGATTTTTTTTATCAGTGCATTTTTATCGTTGCATTTCCCAATTTTTCGTATTGAAGTCTCTAATAATCAGTTGTTGTTGCAATACTGCTGCATAGTGAGAAGCTCTGCCCATCCCAGAGTTTAAAAACCCACTAGTGCTTCAACCACAGCACCTCTGTGTTGGGCTGCAGATGCTGTTCTGGGCCGCTTCTCACCTCTGCTCTAAGACTGTTGGAAGAGGCAGCAGTTCCTGTGCATTTACCAGGACTGTGAGAGAAAGAAGTATGTGCTACCTCTGAAACTTTTGCTCAGATCTGCCCCTGCTTCCATGCAATGCAATGGTTTTGGCCAGTGTTGTTGTGCCATCCATGGTACCAAGACTGGGAGCACTAGAGGACAGTGAGCCAGTGATACTCTGCCCTGGAACTGTCTGAAGGATGCAGGCCAAGTTAAGATAAGATGAGTTGTCCGCATCCTTCTTCTGAAGCCCTAGGCTCTGCAGACAACATGTGATGTGGGGAAAGGACAGAGCTCAAGGCTGGGCCAGCCAGCTGCCCCTTGATGTCCTCTGTGACCAGTGCCTCTCCTCAGCGCTTTTAGAGCTAGAGGTAGTGTCACCCCTCTCTGGTGCTCAGGATCAGTGGGCCGTCTGGGAAGAGGCAACTGTGAGATCCCAACGACAGATACCACTCCTACCACCAGCCTACCCTAGTCTGGGCAAGCCAGCTCCCTTGTACAGTGTCCTGAACTGTGAGAGAATATATTTCTGTTAAGTTGTCCTATCAATGTTGGCCAGCTTCAGGAAATTAGCATACATCTCATTTAATTAGGAAATCCCTTGGGGTAGGTATTTGATGTCCATTTTTCAGGTGGAGAAATCAAGACCTAGAATGCAGGTAGTTGGGTCTGATGGTTGCTAAGGGTAGATCCAGCCTGCTTCTGTGGCCTGTGCACAGGCCTCACAGCAGTTCACAGGCAGAGCAAACCAGTGGAGGCGAGGTTGTGGTGGGGCCTCTTCCAGAGCAGACCAGATCCACACAAGTTGCTCCAGAGAGGCTGTTGGGACAAAGTATAAAAAGCAGAGGATTTCAGCACTGATGCTGGTCTTCAGAGAGCTGGGGTCTTGGAACCAGATGACCACGCAGTCTGACATAACTCTAGCTCTAGCCCTCTGTGTGGTTCAGGGAGCCCCAATTCCTGGCTCCTTGTGGGGGTTAAGGAGAGACCTTGGTAGTGGGCAGGCAGGGGCCCAAGGGACTGGACCCAAAGGTACTCTTCTTGGCTCTTTCCTGGGGAAGATAGAATACAGCTGTCCAGGATAGAGCATGGGGAGACTGATAGGTGACCTGCTCTCTCTGGCTTCTTGTGGATGGTTACTTTTTCATTCCATTTTTTCCTTGGCTTTCAGGTTCACAAATGGAGAGGACTAGCATCTCATCTATTTGGATGAATTCTTTTTTTTTTTTTTAGTTTTGGGACTCGAACTCAGGACCTTGCTCTTGCCAGAAAGGTTTATATAGCCATTAAGCTATATCCCCAGTCCAAGATGAATTTTTTTTTTGCACTGAGACTTTCATGTTGTAATGGACTAGGCCTTTATAGATGTCAAGATTAGCAAATGCATCATGCATGTGGGATGCATGTAGATTTCTAAAAGATGGAAGACAAATGACAATTGGCAGAAATTTGGCCAAATAAGTTAACAGTCAAATACCCCAAACCTGTGACTTGGCTACATTATATGTTAAGAGGAGTTTTGCAGGTATGTTAAAACTTAAGACCCTGTGAGATGGAGATATTCAGGCGGACCCGATGCAATCATGTGAGGAGGAGGCAAAACTGTTCATACCAGAGAGGACGTGAGGACAGGAGAGAGGCAGGGATATGACTGAGAAACTGAAGGTAGAAGAGGGGCCCACGGTGCATGGGCAGCCTCCAGGTAGAGCGGGAAATGCTATGCATACCTGGATTTACCCAGTGAAGCCCATTTTTCAGAAATCTGATTTCCAGAAAAATAACAGGTTTGTGGGTCCCCCCCTACTTTCCTCCTTCTCCTTCCTTTTCCTCTTCTTCTTTTTTAACTTTTTCTGATGCTAGGGATGGACCCAGAGCCTCACAGATGCTACACAAGCCTGCCTTGAAGCTTTTGTTTGCTTGGCCTCTGGGCCCGGTATGCTGCCCAGGCTGCTCTGGAACTCGTGGCTCAGGTGATTCACCTCATCCTCCCTAGGGTAGGAGGCCAAATTTGAATGCTTTAAACCACTGCTTTTTTAAATTGCAGCAATAGAGACTAATATAGGAACCATGGAATGGAGGAAATCAGTGGAAGGACAGACCAGGAGGTAGATACACAGGAAAACACTTTCTGCTGGAGTCGTGCTCTATGGTAGTTGCTACCGAGCCAAGAAAGCCCTGAGGATCTAATCTGGCAACCCTGAGGCCACTAGTGACCTCAGCAAGGCCATTTTGTGTAAAGTCTTGGTTAGAGAGGATTCAGGAGAGACCAAGAGGGAGATGGCAAAATGATCTGCCTAAAGCTCTTGGCGAGGAGAAGGGGAGGGTGGTAGTGGGAGCTGGGGCCTGGGAGAGAGTACAAGGCCCTGCCCTGCCGTGAGGGGTAAGAGGAGGGCCTGTCCAGCAGCCCTAGCAGAGCTGGCCAGGGCAAGGAGGCCCTAGAGGGAGCACATGGAAATTCTTTTCTGATTGCTTCTATTTTCTCAGCGAAATGGGAAACAATCATCTCTTTTTCACTTGCTAAATGTGCTGAGCAGGCCTGAAGGATGTATGAAGGCAGGAAGCAATCGTGATGCCTCACACATGCGGCTTCAATATTGTTTGGTTGGAGAAATAATATACCGCTCTACTAGCTTGTTTTAAATTAGACAAACACCCCGGAGCCTGCCTGCCACTGGAGAGGACGGCCAGAGCTGTGTTTGGAGGGGGGCTCTGGGGTGCTGAGGTCAGCTCTGTTTGACATTCCTGACGTGTGAAGGGCGGCTTGGAACAACAGTGCGCGCCATGGGCGTGCAGCTCCCTGGAACTGCTCCAGGGGCCCTGCCTGAGAAAAGATTGGGTCTTAGAGATTCCTCCCCAATGCTAAACATCTGTTGGTGCTTGTGGAAAATAAGGTTGGGATTGTTTTGCTCACAGCCGTGGGCGCGCCTTGCGCTGTTTGTGAAGCTGGTGATGGATGGCGTGCACACGGGCTCCTGGGAGGCAGCTTGTCCTGACCAGGCAGCAGGGCTCCATCTGCCGCCCTGTTGCTGCACAATTTGCGTCTCCTCTGAATTGAGTCAGGAGAATGAAGGGATAGATGGGCCTGAGGGACATCCCTGTAGCTTCATCCTGGAGCTGAGTTGTCCAGGTGTCTGCCTGTTTGATGGGCGTCCTTTTCAGCTAGATGCCCTGTGTCCACCTGCCCAGCAGCCTTTGTGGAGCCTCAGAGTGGGCCTGTCTCCATCTCTGCAATGCCCCAAGTCTTTCACCTACAGGGAGGTATTCTGTATCCCAGTGGGTCGCAGAGCTCACAGTGTTGAGTTTTATTTTCCAATGGAGTTGAGGCTATACTGGGATGGTGAAAACTTGAATTTCAGCCTTTATGGGCTGTCCTCTCCTGGTCCTGAGAATTTTCTGTTTCTTTCCATCTGAGACCCCCTCCCTTCCTGGTGTCCTGCAGGGACCCCTCGCATGGAGGCCACCTCTTACTTGGTTCTCACTTCCCTGAGCTCTGGCACTGCTGTACCAGCCATAGCCTCCTTACTGTGGTCCTCTCCTGGCTGGGGGATCTTTAGGGGTGGATTCTGTGTCCCTTTCTCTGGATGTATCCCAAGTTCTTGACTATTGCCCAGCATGCAGTTGGTAAGAACAGGAACAAGCTACGGGTCCTCTCAGTGAGCTCATTAAGACCCATCTGTGTGTTCATGAGTGCATGACTAGTAATTGGCAGGACAAAGTCCATGTCTAGCCTCTTGTAACAGTTTCTTGATGCATGGAATCTTAGCATACACATCATCTTCTCTCTGCCTATTGGTCCCTTCCTGCAGTCAGCCACTATCTCTGTGCCTATCCCTCCACCTCTACACAACAGCAAGATGCTCACACACAATCCCCTCAGTCCCTGAAGGTGCCTGAGTCCACCTGACCCAGCTCATACTGTACCTAGAGACCTCAGTCGGGCCACCCTTTTCTCTGTCCTGCTGCTTTGCTTGGTTTTCCCAAGTTCCCATCTTCTGGCTGCTGCCTTCTGCAGCGTGAGCCTCCCCCTCAAAGGCCC